CTTCCAATTTCTCCTGTTTCTCCGATGTAGACTTCTGGGCAGTTATTGCATGCTATTTTGTAAATGACATTGGTATTGTGTGATAGCACATGTACACCGAACCAGTTACCACACCAAAAATTACGGTAATTGATCCAGCCAACTCGAAGTGATGGATCCTAACACACACATACACACACACAATTCATTATTATAGTAACTAGGCTTAGTCTGAATTTATAAAACCATGTTCATTAAAATTACTAGAGACGTGATTTTCCAGAGATCCACATTGTTTCGAAATATAATAATTTGTTATTGAATTTATTCGAGCTTACCGATGTTACGTATTAATATCATATATAGCCGGATTGTTTTGTAAAGATTATTAACTAGGACTTATGAAATTAAAATGTGTCCAGAATTCAGTAACCGCTCACCACTTTAAGCACAATGAATTGGGTAAAATAAACTCTTCGGAAATAAAAATTAGTTAATATGTTTGCAGAGACGTATCAAAAAAACTTCAGAAGATAGAGGACATTTTTAGGCATTTTTTATAATATTGTGGTGATCGTTCGACCCAAACTCTTTCCGACTACGTCTCTAGTGTGTGGGTATGTTACTGGCATCATATGTTATTAATGAAATTAGATTTCCAGTACTGCGCATACACAGTTGTTAACAAATGGAATGCAGGCTTATCACCCAGATCTCAGTAAGTGTGCAGAAAACTCAGTATTATGTAATACTGATTTTTGTATTTCCCCTTTATCTGAAAAAGGGAGAAGAATCAAACCCACCCTCTCCCACCTTGCTCCATGTGATATTTAATAATTGCATAATTCCACATACCCAATATACCCGTTCCGCAAAAAATTTCTTGAGCGTGGGTCGGGTGTGGTCTAGTGCTTGGAGTGCTGGGACTGTGAATGTGAGGATTCATGGTTAGCATCCCGTTATCACAAAAAACAACGCTCCATACTTAGAGCCATTGGTGCATTATAAGAAAGACAGTTAAACAACAAAAGTCAGTCAACAAAAGGCCCAACAGTTGGCGGCAAGTATTGTAACTAGCTGTCTTACTTCTAATCTATCAACTGATAATTAGGGAAGGCTATATAGATAGCCCTTTGTGTAGCTATGCGCGAATATTGTAAAACAAACAGCATTAAACATCGCATCATGTTTCTTATATATTCTATTGTGTTTTTTATTTAATATCTAATCCACACTAAAAAGCCGTTTGTGTCTTTATGTCTATCTATGAGTAAAATGTTCCGGTTTACCGAAGTTCGATCACCATATAACTTTTTGGGTTCTTGGATATGCCCAAAGAGGATTCTAAAACCTATTAGGGTTATTCACTTCTGATAAAAAGGAAAAAAATATATAATTTGGAAACTTTACATATATTTACTACTTTGCATTTTCTTCCGGTTTGTCATCCACAAACGTGTTTTATTGACTGTAAAATACATGTGTTGTTCTCATTCTACCTTTCACATTTCCTGTGACTAATAGCTACTTTAGTCTGTGAGAACTAAGAAAATGTAATTTTGTAGAACTACTAAGAACAGTGCATCAACTTATCAAGGTTCATAATTTAGAACCAGTAAGATAGTAGTCCTAATTCGTTTAAATTTCTAAATCAGTATCTGCCAGTCAACTTGTGTTAAAACAGACCGAGTTCCGTATTGTCACTATTTCCTTATTCACCTTCCCATTTATTACATGTTCACATTATTAATTCAATATTGTTTGTGTTTGTAGCAGTCTTAAACTGTTAAATGTTACTGACGAGAAATAAATATATTCTTAAGCAAGGAGAAACAATGCAGCATAAATTTAATGCTAAAAGAAAAGCATTTAGTATGAAATCAGTAGTCATATTAACCAGAGTCTATGAATAATTCTGATACATGTACTTTCTGATGCAATGTTATTAGCTGAACAGCTTCACAGGAAACAATACACAGTAGTGAAACTCTCCTTATGTAAGTTTTGTAAAGACCTGGCAAAACTGTTTGGAGTATCAACTTTTCTATATGCTAACGCTACCTTACCATGCATTGTTCAAACTGAACTGACAAAAAACAAGAAATAACGCTCGATTTTGGTTAAGAAAACGTTATATTCCACTTAGAGTTCGAAAAAGAACTGGTACAGAGTTCCTGTAAGTACTGGTAGAAATTTACCCTTGATGTGTCTCAGGAGGAAGTCGTTACTGGCTTTGTGTTTTTGTCGCTGTGGGTTTTAACACAATTTAAAATATTTTTTAGTAAACTTAGATATGATAAAGACTTTGAATTGTAAATGTTTCTACAGCCTTGCTGTGACCTTTCAAGTGAAGTGGTAAAGATCAAAGATCTTTGGTTCTTTTTTAGCTTATTTTTCTCGAAACGGGTATCAAATTTAGTGTGAAATTAATAATCAATGTGATATGATCTTCTCGGAACATAATTTGTTACTTTTCCGGACAGCCTGAGGCATCAAGTGACGTGAAAATTATTTAATCTTCATCAAATTACCAGTTTAAAGACGACCAACACATTTACTGTTAAAGTCCCTACCAATTGGCCAAGAAGTGGAGTGAAGAGAAGCAGAAGTTTCTGACCGCCCCTGGTTATATTTCAGACCCCTTCGGGGCGTGAAAGATACTTAACCAATAACCAAAAGAACCACCACGGATCGGATCATCAATGGTCAAAATCCTCACAAATGTCAAAGAATACTGACAAATGGTCTTAAACCACAGTTGAATTATAAATATTCTGACTTAGTTGTACGAAAAAATCTAAATGGCCAAAATAATACAAAATAATAAATATAAGCAATACAAAGACAGAGATCAAACTGTTCTTTTTGTTTATACAAGTCTTAAAAGCCCAAACTGAGCCGCCTCTAAAAGTTAGTTTTGTAAAGTTATAATACTTTCAACTTTAATTGTCGAGGTTGCTCCAAATACATCGATAGATAATATATAAATAGTAAATATTATCCAGACTTCAACGTAAGTTTGTGTAGTTACAACGAAGCAAGATCTGGCTTCTCCGACGGTATTAACAAACATGCATTTGATTTATGGTGAATATCTAATTTAAGCGGTAATACAATGTCGCCAAGAAAAAACGTATGGACGGAGACTGTGTCTCATCTGTTTCTAAGGTAGAATATTCATATGGCGATATTGGTATGTAATGTAGAGCCAAATGATACTCAAAAAGACTAAACCTTCAATGCTCTCCAAGGAACTATAAAACAGACGGAACACAGCGCTTAGAAAAACAACTGGCTAAGGAACCACATCAATTTTCAACCCACAACAACACAAAGTGAAGACTATGGTTTCAAAAGATAACCCCCCAACTCCATAGGCCAATGCAATAAAGCTGGGCATATATCCTAATATATTTAAGTATTAACAAGATAATAAGCAAGGATATGAAGCTGACAAAGGCTCAAAGTTTCCTGGTTTCTAGCCATACCTTGAAATTAAAAGCTGTTTTCACAATAAAGATGGCCGGAGAGAGTGAAAAGACGGCAATACCAATACAACTAAAATGGAATCTGTTCTTTTTTTTCTGTTTAAACTGAGATTTGGAATCCGAATCCTCGTGTGAAATGAAAGGTCTATAGTAAGTTTGTCGAAATGTAGTCTAATATTGACTTCGCAGTCATTCACAGTAGTTTACCAATATGGAAATTCCGGTGTTGGATGGTAGATATGTTTAACACAATTGATGATGAAAAAAGCAGTGCCAAGAACCAGGAAAGTTCGATTAACCCTCAACATATACAAGCTAATCACAAAAGGATAATTCATTAAAAACTACAAGGAAAATTATTTACCAAAATGGTAACTTCGTTCTGAAATATGTGAAGACTCAGAAAGAGTTTGTTTGTTTTGAATTTCGCGCAAAGCTACACTGGGGCTATCTGTACTAGTCGTCCATAATTTAGCAGTGTAAAACTAGAGAGA